CCCTTCGGTCGGAATTCTAGCATGTGTGCGTGCACACACACACACACACACACACACACACACACACACACACGTGTGTAGAGGAGACAGTATTTCTTGTGTGTAGAACAGGGGTCAGCAACCTTTCAGAAGTGGTGTGCCCAGTCTTCATTTATTCACTCTAATTTAAGGTTTCATGTGCCAGTAATACATTTTAACGTTTCTAGAAGGTCTCTTTCTATAAGTCTATAATATATAACTAAACTATTGTTGTATGTAAAGTAAATAAGGTTTTTAAAATGTTTAAGCAGCTTATTTAAAAATAAATTAAAATGCAGAGCCCCCCACATCGGTGGCCAGGACCAGAGCAGTGTGAGTGCCACTGAAAATCAGCTTGCGTGCCGCCTTCGGCACACGTGCCATAGGTTGCCTACCCCTGGTGTAGAAGGATGCCTCAGGAAAACTGTATTTTGGAAGAAGCCAGATGAGATTTGACACAACAGAAGCTTAATGGGTGGTATTTAACTTAAGATGAATGGCAGACTCACTATCACCACCTTGTATAGGCACAGACTCCGTGGGTGCTCCAGGGCTCAAGCACCCATGGACAAAAATAGGGCAGTGCTCAGCACCCACTATCCACAGTGGTTTCACCCTGGTGCTGGCCACCTGATCAACTATTTGGTGAGCACTCGGGGGAGGGGGCAGAGAGGAGGGACCGGTGAGTGGGCAGGCGGGGGGGGGCGCTTTGGGGGCAGAGAGGAGGGAGCAGCGAGCAGGCAAGGGGCCTTAGGGGAGGGGCAGAAAGAGGTGGAGTGAGGGCAGTGCCTTGGGAGAAGAGGCCAAGCGAGAGTGGGGCCTTGGGGTGGAGCACCCACCGGGAAAAATAAAAGTCAGCATCTGTGTCATTTGATATGCAGAAGTGAGGAGGGAAGGAGAGTTCCCCCGCCAACTCTTCACCTTGGACTGGCTGCCTGACACATTATGGGTTGTGTGGAGCAGCCATCTCACACCTGTCTTTATAATCACACCACAAAAAATTCTATTAAGCCAGAGTTAAGATTGAAGGGACAAATCAGTAATTTAAGGATAAAAATCCTTACAAGAACTTCGTCGTTCTATTAAAAAGCCAGGAATTTCAGAGCCAAGGTTAAATTTACATGAAAAATATGAAAATAGAGAAATGCACAGTTAAGGTACCCAATCAATCTTAACTCTGGCCCACTTTGCAATGCCAACCTTCCATCTTCCTTTTGTTATTTTGTAAGATGTGCTATTTTGGATCAAATACTTTTTCTAAGGGCTTTAAAGGATTCATCAAATATAGACATATTAAATTCCAAGAAGCCACAGTACTTATATATGTGCAGATGAAATACACCTTTATCCCAATATAACGCTGTCCTCAGGATCCAAAAAAAAAAATCTTACCACGTTATAGGTGAAACCACGTTATATTGAACTTGCTTTGATCCGCCAGAGCGCGCAGCCCTCCGCCCCCCGCCCCC